AATAATTCATAATGTAATATCAATTTTTGAAAAATTAATGGATGGTCTGTCGCGTATTGCGTAGTCACATAATATAAAAACACACATTATAAGAGGTTCTCATGAACATCGAAACTGGGCGTGTGAATAAGTTAAATCGTTCACATGGTTATCTGTTTAAATAAGAATATGAATATTGGAGTCACAGATACGTGGGTGGTTGACCACATCCTGTGTCCCTGCATCAGTAATTATGTAATACACACACGTGCAAAATCAATAAGAAATTATCATATTTTATTATCATTAACGCACACACACACTCACAATTTATAGGAATTATCTTATTTTATTATCTTATTCATTTACACACACACACTTGGGATTTTACATACACACATACAATATCACATATAAAAGGGACCCGAAAACAAGGGCAAATCAGACGAGTCTTGTCTATGCTGCACTGAGCACCTTCACGTCAGTGTATGTTATGGTCTGGACTTAGAAATATTTCAAATTATTTTATAAGTTACAATTGTTAGGACTTAGATAATTTCTATCACTAGAATATTTACAAAATTTGTAGTTAGAATAATTTTTATAAGTTAAATAAATTTAATTATTTTAAAAAGAAGTCTTAATTATTCCTGACTACACTTCCACACAAGCGTTGACTGAGACGTTGTAACTGAGTTAACGGATCAAACGGTTGGCACGTAACAAAAATTGGCGCAGTCGGTAGGATATTCAATAGAAGGCAATTCCACATCAGAACCACCGAGGAGCTGAACAACTTGCAGTCCTTCAACTTCTCAACTTCCATTGAATAGCTGATACTCCACTGGATCATTCAGTCAACAACATGTCTTCAATCAACAATTGTTTGTAAGCATATATTTTGTAATAACCATATTATTTTAAGATACAATTTTATAAAAGAAACGAAAACATTCTATGTTCATAAAAAAACCAGACACCTAAAAATTCTAGCTAAATACCCACATTATTATTGAGAATTATTATTGAGAATTATTATTGAGAATTATTATTGAATTATTATTGAGTTATATTGAATTATTGAATTATTAAAGGGGATCCCGAGATTATATTGAGATTATATTGAAATTATATTGTGATTATATTGAAGTTATATTGAAATTATATTGAGTTTATATTGAGTTTATATTGAGTTTATATTGAAGTTATATTGAGAATTATTATTGTGAAATTTATTGAGTTTATCTGGCCAGAGGCTCAATACGGTAGGGAAAAATATTATTTTGTTGGAGTTATTATAAAAAGGAATAATATTAAAAATTATTTAAAGAGATTATTATTGAGATTATTATTGAAGATTTATTATTGAAAGAATTTATTGAGATTATTATTGTTGAATTATTGAGATTATTATTATTGAATTTATTGAGAATATTATTGAATTATTGAGAATTAAAAGTTAATGGGTAAAGAATTTTTATGAGTAAGCATAGCAGTCCGGACTCGTCTCCATCGAAAGTAGCTAATTCGGTGTATAGGGAAAAAAGTGAAAGTGAAGGTAGTGTGGAAGATCTTGACAAAAGTTTTGTAAAAGAGGAAAATATTGATGAACACACTAAAAAATTATTGAACGTAGGAACACAGAGCGAGCATCGTAGAACTCGAAGTAGTCGTAATACCGAATTTGAGGAATTAAAATTTGAAGTAAAATCTAGAAGAAAAATGAATAGCGATATAGTAACATTAAAATTGGAAGAGGCAGTTAAATTAATACCAAAAAGTACGGGAGAAGATGATGTTTATCAGTTTATTCAGGCATGTGATTTAGCTATAGAGTCCGTAGAAAAGAAAAATGTACCGATTTTAATAAAATACATAACAACTAGATTAAGTGGTAGGGCTTTAGAAGCAATTAAATATAAAGATACAACTAAATGGAAAAACATAAAAAAATATTTAACCGATACATTTGAGGCACAACATTCCGCTTCAGCTTTACAAATAGAATTAAATTCTATTAAAATGCTTCAAGGGGAAGACGTAAATACTTATACAAATCGCGTAGAAAAATTATTTTATAAGTTAAGTGATATGAGCACTGCAAATAAAGATGAAAAAGAGGCTAGAATTATTCACGATACAATAAAAGAACAAACTTTAGTAGTATACATAAAAGGGTTAATAGGTCCGATACGTACCATTGTAAAAGCGAGAAATCCAAGTACGTTGGAGGAAGCTAAACAGTTAGCGCGTTCGGAAGAAATCGAGTATAAGTCTAGTTATGAATTTAATCAAAATCCAAATAAAAATCGAAATTTTAATAACCGAAATTATAATAATAATTCATCTAATGCAAACAATCAGAATAATTTCAGGAAATTTAATAATAATAATAATAATGTACAAAGACCAAATTTCAGAAATAATTTTAATAATCAAAATTTTAGAAGTAACACAAATCCAAATAATAATTTCGCGCGACCAAATTTTAATACTAATAATAATAATAATATAAATCAGCCGCAAAGACCGATAAAATGTTATATTTGCAACGGAAATCATTTCGCTAACCAGTGCACAAATAAACGTAACTTTACGCATAATACTCGACCACCTAATCAGAATAATTTTACACGACCATCTACTAGTTATAATATGAGGTATATTTCATGTGAATATTGTAATAACAACGGACATAATATAAATGAATGCTATAAAAAAATGTTTAACGATAGACAGAATAATATTAATAACGATGATAATAACGTAAATTCGGAAAACGCGAGCGAGTCGTGCGCGGTACGCGGTACACGTACGATAAATCATATATCGACCGCGGAACAAACCGAAACTGCTTCCATGTTATATCAATAATGACGGAAAATCATATAATATGCACTTCTGAATTTAGTAATACGAAAACTTTAGAGTTACTTATAGATACGGGTAGCGATGTAAATGTTATAAAAATAAATAAATTAAGAAAGGATTTAATAATAAATGAAAATAATAAGTTATATTTAAAAGGAATAAATGAAACAAAAATTGAAACGATAGGAACTATACATTTAGTAATAGGAATTAATAATGATAAATTTAATGTAGAATTTAATGTAGTAAAAGCAGAATTTCCGATACCAAAGGACGGTATATTAGGTCATAGGTTTTTATCTGAGAATAAAGCGATAATTGACATATGTAATAAAACAATGATTATTAATAACGAAAGTAAGATTGCGAATAAAGATAATAATATAGAATATATTTCATTAAATCCGAGAACAGAAACTATTGTAGAATTACCGATATTAGATAAAGTGTAGAGAATAAAAATATAATTTTGCATAAACAAGAATTTATCAAGGATGTATATTGTAGTAATGTAATAGGGACAGTAAAAAATGGTAAAATTGTAGTGAGTATATTAAATATTTCCGAAGATAAGCAAATAGTTAAATTAAATGATTTAAATAAAATAGAGTATGATGAATCATCTGAATATAATATATATAAATTTAATACCGATAATGAAAACCGTAATAATGACGACCGGATACTTCGTATAAAAAAACAGATAAGATCTGACCACATGAACGATGAGGAAAGACAATCCATAGATAAAATTTGCGAACAATATTCTGAAATATTTCATTTAGAGGGAGATAAATTAACTTGTACAAATGCCGCAATGCATGAAATTAAATTAAATGATAACCAAACACCGATATATAAACGACCATACAGATTACCCCATGCGCACCAAGAAGAAATAGCAAATCAAATTAAACAAATGAATTCAGACGGAATTATCGAACCTTCTCGAAGTCCTTGGAATTCACCACTTTTATTAGTAGCTAAAAAGATAGATGCAACGGGAAAACAAAAGTACAGAATAGTTGTAGATTTTCGAGCTTTAAATAAAGTAACATTAAATGAATTTCATCCACTTCCTAATATCACTGAAATACTAGATCAATTGGGCGAATGTCAATTATTTAGCGTCATAGATTTAACATCGGGATTTTATCAAATACCACTTGCCGAATCATCTCGCGAATTAACAGCATTTTCGACTAATCAAGGTCATTGGCATTTTAAAAGAATGGCAATGGGCATGAAAACGTCACCAGCCACATTTCAGAGATTAATGAATAATGTATTATCGGGATTAATCGGAATAAAATGTTTAGTATATTTAGACGACATAATCGTATATGGAAAAGATTTAAGAGACCATAATCATAAATTAATAGAGGTATTCGAACGTTTAAGAGAACATAATTTAAAAATACAACCGGATAAATGCGAATTTTTAACACGAGAATGCGTATACTTAGGTCATGTAATATCAGAACACGGAATTAAACCAGACGAAAGAAAGGTTAAGGCAGTTCTAAATTTTCCGGAACCAACTAATGTTAAGGGGATAAAATCATTTTTAGGATTATCAGGTTATTATCGTAAATTCATAGAATCTTATAGTGCAAAGGCAAAACCATTAACAAACTTACTAAAAAAAGATATTAAATTCGAATGGACCGAAGATTGTCAAAAATCTTTCGATTCACTTAAAAAATCACTATGTTCAGAACCAATTTTAAAATATCCAGATTTTTCAAAACCATTTATTTTAACAACTGATGCAAGTAATAAAGCATTAGGAGCAATTTTGTCACAAGGAGAAATAGGAAAAGATTTACCAATAGCTTATGCGTCGCGAACTCTAAGTAAAAGTGAGAATAATTATAGTACCACTGAATTAGAATGTCTAGCAATAGTATATGGTGTTAAACAATTTCGACCTTATTTGTACGGGAGGAAGTTTATTATTTTGAGTGATCATAGACCATTAACATGGTTATTTAATTTAAAAGATCCATTATCTAAATTAGCGCGTTGGCGGATACAACTAGAAGAATACGATTATGAGATTAGATATAAACCGGGTGTACAAAATTCAAATGTAGATGCATTAAGCCGAATGTATAAAATTTCAGAAATTACAGATGACAATTATTCCAATTTTATTAATAAAATGAAAACGCAATTAATTATAAATAGAAAAGTACATGAAACAATAGGAGACTTAATGAACGTACCAGTAGAGTATAATTTAGTGTTGGAAATAGCTAAAAAATATAATTTTAAGAAAGGAATTAATAAAATATTAAAAGAAAAATTTAGTAATAATCAATTATTGCCACCGAGTAAAATGATAGGCGATATTAAATATTTTAAAAACAAAGATAGATATATAATGTTCCTAGTAACTAAAAATAGAGATAAACAATTAACCACGCAT